TCCCAAGGTAGACAGAGTGAGCTCTCAGGAGGCTTTGAGCAGGAGGTGGCCTGTTAATGATGGTCAGAAAGTGAGATATACTGGGGTGAGGAGAAAGACACTGGAGGCAGTATCTAGGAAAGTGCATAGAAAGTGCACAGAAGATGGCACTGCATTAGTCTGTAGACCAAATGTTCAGCTCAGGATGAGAAGTGTGCCAGGTGTAGTGGCACAAGCCTACAATACCAGTGACTTAGCAGGCTGAGGCAGGAGGGCTGAAGTTTGAAGCCAGGCTCATTAACTTAGCAAGATCGTGTTCCAAAATAAAAAAATAAAAAGGAATGAGGATGTAGTTCAGTGATAAAGCACCCTTGGATTCAATTTCCAGTACTGCAAAAACAGACAAATAAACAAAACCCTGACTCTCTTTTGTCAACCATTAGGACAACTTTTAAGTTTCCTTATTTATTATGTTTGCCCCACATGGAGAACATAATACTCTCCATCAACTTCTCACCCAAGAACACTGAAAATTAATGATGAGGTAATGTCTGTGAAATGCCCAGAGCTCTTTGAAGATGTGGCAAAAGGCATCACTATAATTAATATTTAATGAGATGCTACCCAGCTCTGATCTCTTTTTCTGCAGACTAATGTTACATTCACAGGATAAGGTGATGCCAGATTGGCCCCTAAAGAAGCATTTCCAACAGACAGTAGCAATACAGGCCCACTTTCCCTAATCCCTTACATGGGGCTCGTGGAGTCCATCATCACAAGAATGCAAGAGTGGTTTCTCACGTGGGAATCCAAGGTTGCCAAAGAATTTGGGAGCAAAATGATCAGGTAGAAGGGAAAAATAGATTCCAAAGTGTGATCTTCCTTGGGACCCCATTTTTAAGTATAAGAGAGATTCCAGTGGAGACTTCAAGGGGAATTATTTTAGCAAAACCCACATCCTAAGCAAGTTAATATTTTTAGGTCTAACACAGTGTCCAAGAAAGGAAGAAATAAGAATAGCTCTGTGGGTTCAGTTACAAATGGAGTGGAGAAAATAATTTCAAAAGTTCAAGGGGAAAAAAAATCAATCTATTTCCTCCCCCTAAAGCTTTTATTTCTATAAATACATTCACACAAATGGACCTAAGACCACTTTTCCTTCTGAAAACACTACCTGTTTGGAATTTGCAAGATAAATGACATGTCAGGCTAGCTTTCAACCCACTAAAGCTTAAACAATGCTCTTCAAAAGCTTATCTCTTCTTCTTAAATAATACTCATTTTCCCTCTCTGACTATAAAACTAATACATGTGCCTGGTAGAAAATGTTGAAATTTTTCATTTTTCAGAAAGAAGAAAATAATTATCCACTAAAATCTACAAGTTGCTAATTACCCTTCTAGCTTTGTGTGTGAATGTGTGAAAATACACTTTTTTTTTTTTTTTTTGGTGGTGCTGGGGATTGAACCAGGGCCTTGTTCATATGTGAGGCAAGCACTCTACCAACTGAGCTATCCCCAGCCCTAAAATACACATTTTTTAACATCACTTGGGAACTTACTGTATATTCTGGTTTATAACCTGATTTTCTCCTCAGAAAAATACACAGTAAACGTTCCCTGAATCTTCATTATCCTACAACATTATTTTATGTCCTATACATAGGACATTCATTTTTAAACTAATCCCCTATTGCTGGGCATTTTGGTTTATCTTTAATGTCTGTATTACAAATAACATTGAGATAAACGTCTTTGCCTAATACATCTAGATTTTTCTCTTGAGATAAGTTCTGACGACTGGCACTGCTGTGTCAAAGGCTGTGCATGAGTTTTGAAAGCTCTGATACAGTTAAACTGCCCTGCAGAAAGGTTATCCTAATCTCACTCTCTCCATCAGTGGGAAAGCCACTTCTCCCATTTGCTCACCAATACCTAATTTGGAAGATTCATAAAGGGAGTGTGGCTGCTTTTATTTGCAGTTCTTTGATTATTCTAGAAGCCTATTTTCCCCAACAGTTCAGTGTCAATAGTAGTTTTCAGAATATTTTTTACTGTGCACTTCTTATCATCAAAAAGCCAACATCGGACCCCATCTGCAAAGGGTATGTCCCCTACTCTACCTCCAAGGGCAACCCAGTGGTCCTCCCTCTCTGCATCTACCACTCGTTTCCACCTTCATGCCCTTCACTCCTCTCTCAGCAAACATTTTGCAATTCTAGCAGGGCAGTCAGACAGAACCCATGGGTCATTTATTCATTCATTCATTTCTTCAACTGACATCTCTCAGGGGACTGCTATGCTTCTGGCATTATACTAAGAGAAAATAATAGACTGATACTATAAGAAGCCAGGAGAGAGAAAGTAATGAGGTCAGAGCAGCAGAAGCACACTCAAGCTAAAAGATACCTAGTTTTACTGGTAGGAGAGGGGTGGGGGGAAAGAAGGCAGGCAAAGGGAATAGCATGTGCAAAATTCCAGAGGTATGCTAGAGTTTCATGTGTTGAAGGAACATTTTCATTGTTAGGGCATAAGAAGGAGAGGCTGAAAAATTAGCTCATGCCAAATTTACATGCTGGGTTCACCTGCTGATCTGTTCTCTTTCCCCTGCATTTCAGCTCTGGCTTCCAATTCCTGCCTGGCACGGCAGACTCCTCCAAAAACCTTCCTTGAGAGCCTTCATCAGCATCCATCTATCCAGATCTTTCTGCTGGGGCAGGAATCCTGGTAGGGACACCACTCTACTCAGCAATCCCCAGTGAATAGAGGACTGTTTGCTGACTCCTAAGTATAAGTCTTATAGGTCAAGCTAGAAAAGAAACTTCTGGCTACTGATATGTTCTCATATCCCTAGGTTCTCAACCCTGGGCTAAACTTATCTAACAGGCAATCAATAAAAGCCTATAGAATCTAAACAAATTAAATCAGGCAGAATAAACACAAGACAGGATGAGTGTACATGGGTTGGATGCATCTAACTGTCATCCAGGCAGCTGGGAAAATTGAAACTGTCTTTGAAAATTAGCTTCTAAACACAATCATGGCAAAGGATGGATTAATTCTCTTCAGGCATGTAATTCTGCATCTAGCTAGACATTTCTCAGTTAGGCACACAAAAGGTACTTGTTCAGCTGAGCTGCATAGCCCAAAGGCTTCTGTGTAAGAAGGTTAATCTATTCTAAAGGGTTTTTTGTTTTGTTTTGTTTTTGTTTTTCCTTTGCAAAAAGGTAGGAAAAGAAGACAGGAAAGAAAATCCCTAACACAGACTATTTCTTCTGGGATTTTCAATACTGATAACTCCAATTCAAAGCAATAATCCTGGGAGGACCTCGTCTTCACCATTCATGTTTTCATGAAGACAACAGAAATTTCTAGATAATTCTTCCCTGAAGGTAAAAGCCCAAACATTCCTCAAGTGGCTCGTCTTTCCCTGTTCTGGTTTGGATTCCCTCAGTCCTGGATTCATCCCCTACAAAAGAATTCTTCATGCTGATTTATTTGTCCCCACACTAGGCTGTGATCTCTATAAGACTGAGGATCGTATCTCCATTCCTATGTCCCTGAAGCCTAGAACCTTACCCTACATGTACAGATTTTCTACATTGTGAAATTAAATATAGTGTCAGGGCATCAAAAGACCTTAGAAATAACCCAGTCCACAGACAGGAATCAGGCCCTGACAGGGGAAGCGATCTCCAAATTCACCTGGGGAATTGGTGGTAATCAGTAAGTGAAAGAATGAAAAATAGAAAAAAAAATGTCAGCAATGTTTTAAACTTGAGGAAATAGAAGGTATAGGGTTGGGAAGGGGTGGTTAATGGAATTTGAAACGGATTTCAACTTAGGGAAAAACTAAGCTTGGTCCTAGACTGTCTCTAACACATAGAACAAGTCTTATCTCTTCTCCATGACAGTCCTTCAGATAATATAAAAAGGAAATTAACATTTATCGAACATTTCCCATATGCAGGTAGAAAACAGGAATCCTGTCCTCCCTGTATCTTCTATTTTGTAAGTTTAACACTCCCTGATGATTAGTAAGCAGCTAAATAATAGGTCTCAGCTATGTGGATAGCTAGTAAACCAAGGCCTGATGGAGTGAGAAGTCCAGGCACTTTCTTCTGTACCCCATTTCCCCTCTGACCCTAGTCCTAAGGCTAAAGTGCACCAAGAAAGAGCCAGCTAGACTCCAGGTCAGCTTGGTCATGTCCCAGGACAAAGGAAGCACACCCAGAGGCTGCATATTAGGTTCTTGGCCTCTTCGTCCTCTGAGAATGCAGCGAGTGGCATTACCCTCTGAGTTCATGCTAGCATTTGACTTGACAAGGCAGATTGACTCCAGGTGTAAGATGGAGAAACACAGAGGCCCACATATGTTCTTGACTTAGGCAGCATGCCCCCGGAGACAGTAAGGAAAGCAGTGTGCAGCAGGGAGCCAGAAGCAACTGAGGCAGTAATCAGGATCGATCATTCATTCATTCATTCATCAGTTGACAATACACAGAACTTGTGCCCTGGACTGGCCCCACTTCTGGGTTCTGGTTTGAGTAAGTAGCAGGGCTCAGTGCCTGCTCAGGAGAAGCTCATAATACAGTGGGGCAGGTTATACAGAAACCCATGTGACCATGCAATCTGGGGAGTGTTATTTTGAAGCGAGGAGGCTCCCTTAGCCTGGAAAAGACATCTCAGACAAAGGAAAACATTGTGATGTGGACATATTTCAAAGAAGATATGCCAAACAAGCCTTGTCAAAATAGGGAATCACTGTGCTTTGAATCCATCAAGCAAAATAAGAAGCAAGGATCTCTGAACAACTGCCCTGCCCTTAGGGCTCCAAGCAGTACAAACTGAATATCTCTGCCTTAGTAGGTGGTACTTAAAGTCCCTTTCAGACCTAAGGTTCTCTCAATACAGCTCAGGTTGATGACCAGGAAAGGGGTCATCTGAAACCCTGAAGAAGACACAGCTGAAGGCATCTTTGGGCACACTGCTCTAATCATCTCTCCCCTCTTTGTCTCTTACCCATTGGGACTTAGTTGAACAGCCAGTCTCTCCTGGAAGCCTCTCTGGATCTCCTCTAAGGCATGGCCAGCTCTCTTTTGGGCTCCCACGGGTCTCTATAAAGTACAGCACCTTGCTCAGGCTCACTTACTGCCAGCTGCAGGTGGGGCAGTACTGTATGATTCATCTGTCTCCTGTCTCCTCCCTCTTAACCTCCCCAGCAACCCAGCCCTACACAGGACTTTCTAAGCAAAGCACAGTGAACTGAGCAGGTAAGCAGCCTAGGAGGCTAATCTGGGCAGATGTGAGATGGGAACTCTGGGAGCAGCAGGGACAGCACTGAGCAGAGTCTGGATCTGTTCTGTACCCAGATCTTCCCAGATCACCCTGATTTTCCTTGGCTCTGCTATAGCTTGCACCAGACCCAGCACTCCTGCTTGCCCTGAGGATTCTTTTGGTGCTCTGGAATGTCAACTGCAAACAAAGTGGTGCCCACGCTTTGGGGACAAAAGCACATGTTATAATTGCATTGCGAGAGCTCAGAAGCCAGCAGTAGCTGCAGGCCACACAGGACCATGAGGCTTCAAAATAGGCAATTGTAGACAAGATTGCATTATACTACTCTTTCAGGGTTACTACCAGGCATGTCCTTATTTTTAACAGAAAGAGATGTACACTTGATTATTGAGAATATAAATACTTTCCTTCAAGTTCAATGAGCCAATATTGGACTAAATTAGTGGGGAAATATGAGGACCAAAGTTTTCCTCTGTGTCCCTTCCTTGTCCAGAGCACATTCACTGTGGGATCCTTCCTAAGCCTAACAACTGTAATGAATATTTTAATAGCTGCAGCTTCTCCTTCCCATTGATAAAAACTCCACTGACTAGCCAGAGCACGCTGGTGAAAATGAGGGTGTGGACCAGAAAGACCTGAGCTTTTCTGAACAGCCTGATCCCTGATGGCCCCACCCAGTCATACAACTGGGATGATTAGAGCAGCACTGGCACCCCTCAGAGCAGCAGCCAGGATGCTGAAAGAAGGGAGACACCCAAAATAGGCAGAAAAAAGACCAGAGGCCAGTGACCCTGGAGAACTAGGTTCAAATACACTCAAGAGAAAAGGCAGACGCAAAAGTAGCCAAAAGGAAAAATGTCCAAGTCCCAACTCCAGAAACCTACAAATGTGACATTATTTGAAAAAGTCTTTACATGTGCAATTAAGTTAAAGATCTTCAGATAAGGAACTTATTTGGACCACCCAGGTGGATTCTAAATCCCATGACAAGTGACCTTATAAAAGCGAGGCAGAGAGAGATTTGATGTAGACAGAAGAGGAGGAGGTAATGTGACCAATGAGGCAGAGAACTGGAGTGCTAGGGTCATAAGTCAAGATATTCCTGCAGACATCAGAAACTGGAAGAGGCAGAGCAAGGATTCCCCCTTATAGCCGTCAGCACTGCCAATACCTTGATTTTGAACTTCTGGTCTCCAGAACTGTAAAAGGATAAATTTTTGTAGTTTTAAGCCATGGTTATGATAATTTGTTCCAATATCCACAGGAAACTATATAGAACCTAAGAAACAGATGAGGAATTTCCGTTCCAGTGTGGTGGCCAACTGACTTGGGGCCACCCGACATCAGCCACTGGTCCCTCTGACAAAGGGCATGGAGTTCCCTAATGGCACAACACAAGACCCAGAAGAGGGCCCCTGGGGAGCCTAAGTGAGCCTAAGCAGTGCTAACACAAGCACAGACCTCTGAAATGGGGCTGCAGTGTCCTGGACTCCTCTGGGCTCATCAGACTCCACGTGTATAGTTGTCCAATTCTTAGCTCTGTCCTTGTCAGGGGACTGGATAAACCGGAGCATTCTGCCTGAATAAGGGAAGACTCTGGGGCCTGATGCCTCTTTCTGAATGTCCAAATAGCCCATGTGGCTGTCAGGAAAGAAGAAATGGACTTTTATGTGGGGCCTCAAAGGACAGAATCAAGGCCAATGGGACAGCCATTGCCTGGAGGAAGATTTTTGGCTAAGTACAATGAAGAATTTTCTAATAATCAGAGCCAACTGAGAGTAGAATAGGAGTGCCTGAAGGATTGGCAGGTCCAAGCAGACAAAGTCTGGGTGTGCTGGGGGAATTCCTAAGCCACACAAAGGCTGCTCTTGATCATCTCTGGAGCTGACAGTTGTGTCTGAGGGTCTAGGATTGGTGGCTAAAATATCGTGTAATGTGTGTGTGAATCTAGGTTTTCTACTTAGAGACAAATCACATTCTAAGAAACTTATTATGCAGCTTTTGTGAAGGACTAAGATCAGAAACTACCCAGAAATGACCTGAGAAAGAAATAATCAATTCTTGGGCTGGGGTTGTGGCTCAGTGGTAAAGCACTTGCCTAGCATGTGTGAGGCACTCTGTTCGATTCTCAGCACCACATAAAATTAATGAAATAAAGGTCCATCAACAACCAAAAAATTTTTGTTTATTTTTTAGTTGTAGTTGGACACAATACCTTTATTTTATTTATTTTTATTTGGTGCTAAGGATCGAACCCAGGGCCTCGCACATACTAGGTGAGTGCTCTACTGCTGAGCCACAACCCCAGCCCTACAAATTTTTTTTTAAAAAGAAATAATTAATTATTTCTTAGTTGCAGTGGTACACACCCATAATAATCCCAGTACTCTGAAGGCTGAGACAAGAGAATCCCAAATCTGAGCCTCAGAACTTAAAAAGACTCTATCTCAAAATAAAAAAAAAAAAGGAATGGGGGTGTCGCTCAGTAGTAGAGTACTTACTTAGCTCTGTGAGGTCCTGGGTTTGAGTCTCAGCTCCACAAAAATATTTAAAAAGAACCAATTCTTCCTGTCCCTACATACAAAATGCCTCCCACTCCCAGGCATCAAGAGAGCAGAAAAGCATGTATCTCTGTATAGAAATCATTTTATAACTTCACCAGGGACCATAGCACATACACAGGTGACAGGGGAACCCTGGACAGTCTGGGTTTGATGTCCTTTCCCAGGGAAAATCAGAGAGAACAGAGGCTCTGGCTACCAGCTAAATTATTTTCATAAGAACAAATAAATACACCCTCATCTTTTTTTCTGAATTTGGGACAAAGAAAACAACAAAGTAGTAACTCAGAAGCTTAACATGTTAATGTCCACAAGTTAGCTCCGGGGAAGGTGTTTTGGGTGGGGGCAGGTTTAAGAGGCTGTAGCCTACACTGAGTATTCTGGATACTCAGGAAAGGAAGCACAGCATTTCTCATCTGTCTGCACATCTGTCTTCTTTTAAGTCAAAATCTCAGAACGCAGCACATTGCATCCGGATGAGTTCCTCTGAAGCTCTTTCCGTTCAGGATTTTGAAAATTTGCCATGTTACCCTTTTACTGAAACAGCTAAGGTTCTCAGATTATTCCTCAAGAGAGGTCAAAAGAATACACTTTCATACTTTTAGATTTACCATCATATCTTTCCTAGTCTGTAATTAGTGTTTTGTGTTTTTTTTTTTTTAACCCCACTTTTTCTCCAAAAGAGCCAGTGTTAAGAGCACACATCATTTAGCAGACATCTTGGGACATGATTGGAAGCCTGAATCTTTTCTAATCACTGGCAAAAAGGTCTCCAAACATTAAATAAGTCCCTGAAAATGCTGTCACTTCACTGAAAATAATGGCTACTGCCCTCCCATCAATTGGCCAAGCACCAAACCAAGCTTCCCACTGTCCTTCAGGCAGAGTTAATTTAAAATTTTAATTTTTTTTTTTTTTTTGCTGAGCAACAAATTGTAATCTGTAGTTACTCAAACAGATTTAAGCCAGTATTGCTACTGCTTCCATGAACATTATTAAATTTAGTATATATCTTAAAATAGAGTAGAAACAGCTGGGCATAGTAATATACACCTATAATCCCAGCTACCAGGGAGGCTAAAGCAAGAGAATCACAAGCTCAAGATCAATGTGGGCAACTTAACGAGATCCTTTCTTAAAATAAAATTTGAAAAAGGGATAGGGATGTAGTTCAGTGGTAAAGAGCTTGCCCAGCATGCATGAGGCCCTGGGTTCACCCCAGGACCTCCTCCCCAACATGCCAAATAGAAATACAACTACAACAGCTGTACAGAAATCAAAATTTTATATATTGAATGGTGTTAAGAACATCAGCATGTTTGGTATTTGCCAATCTTTCCATCTCAGATATTTTGGTACAGTAAAGAATGTTTTTTATAATACAATTATTGTCAAAAACTTGAAGCTTTAAGTTTTACATAGTATATTTATTTAAAATAGGCCAAATTGGAAAGCCAGATTCAACATGCAGGCTCATCTTTGAGGCTGCATGAACTGTTCATCAAACGAAGGCTCTACATTTGAGGCATCAGAATGCCAGGAGTTCGTTCAGCTGAGGACCAGATGCAACCCCTACATAGCAGCACTGAGTTTCTGGCTTGACTCAAACCACTTCAGATCTCAGAAAAATCATAGGCTGTTATCAGTCCCAAACGGCAAACACATTATCAAGCTTGTGCTAGGGGTAGGCTCTATGAAAAGGGCTGTGGAGTGAAATGGGAAATCGTGTCTGCCGTTCCAGGGGCTCCTTCTGGGCCACAGCCACATATATCAATGACCACATACAACATGCCTTATGGCTGACAGCAACTGCTTCTCCAAGGGAGGAACCAAGTACAGTGGGAGATAAGGGTTCTAGAAAAGCCCCAGGATAAAGGGATCAGAAAGACAGCCTCCTAGGGGAAGGAGGATTTGAGCTTGGCCTTCAGGCATGGCTAAGACTGTTAAGACTCAGTTGTGAGGGAGAGAAGCCATAGAAGGGCAAAGGCCTAGAGTACTGGGGGTCGTAAGGTATCATGATGCTATTCTTCACCCTCCTGTCCTCTTCTTCTTTAACCACCATAAATGCTCAGCAACCTACATTAGGGCAGAAGGGAGCCAGAGTCCAGTTCCCAGCATATATGGACAAAGAAGATATATTTATAAACTGTGTCTGACTATCAAATCCTCCCGCCTGGGTCCTTGAGCACATAGTGATAAGCTTATGGGAGGCAGGGACTGAGTCTTCTGATTAACCCATCTGTAGCTTCTACTACCTAATAGTATTTACAGGACATTGGCTGCTGCTGATGTTAGTATTTGACCTGAGCACTCTCAAAATAACAAATAGCCCTTGTCTCTGGAATCAGAATGTACTCTGAGTATATAACAAATTGTCACTGCAG